GTTTCAATGCCTGCTAAAGAAATCCTATTTACAGTGTAGAAAACACTTGCAATTTGAAATAAAAATGAACAAACTAAATAAAAACAGACAAAAGATACACACTTGGGGCTTAAAAAAAGAGAGAATACCCCTTAAAATTTAGGTGAATGGTCAACCTCCTCAGTTAGGAGTGAATTGCAAATGTGAGCCATGGGAGGTGGAACCACTCCTAACAGCCAAATAAAAATGACAGCAGAATAACTTGAGAGCTCAAACACAAGGAGCTTGAGAAAGTTCATGGAAAGTTTATATTGTCTTTCAATTTTATTTTCCCACAAAATTTTAGAAGTACTATTGCTGAGAGGGCTTCCAAAAGTTTGTGGAAAATGGAACAACAATATTTGAAATTCATGAATAATCTTTTTTATAATATGAATTTCCCACAAACTTTCCAAAGCACCTGTATGTGTGTGTGTGTGTGTGTGTGTGTATAATATATGAAGATAGTTCAATGAGTGCATGGAAAATTAGCATTTACCTTTGGGTTCTGTTTTCTATGAGTTTTTCAAAAGAATTAGAAATTTTCAATTGGCATACATACCAGTGTGTGTGAGGGAGTGAGAGAGAGAGAGAGAGAGAGAGAGAGAGAGAGAGATTGAGAACTCCTACCTGCTAGTTCATGCCCCCACAGCCTGGGTCCTGGGATAGCAATCTGCCCAAGTGCATCTTCAACCTAGGTGACAGAAACTCAACTACCTGAACCACCACGTGCTGTCTCACAGGGCGCACATTAGCAGAAAGCTAGGATGAGGGACAGCATTGAGCCCAGGGATTCAGACAAGGGATCCGGGTATCCAAGCAGGATCTTAATCGCTGTATCAAGCCTCCACCATTTGAAGGACTTTTGGCCTTGGCCTCGTATATGTGACACAGATCTGTGTATTCATTCATAGAGAAAGGACTTTTTGATCCATTTGAAATTAAGTTGCAGACAGGAAGCCTAAGAACATTTTAACACTCCTGCAGAACAATAGTCTAAACATCAAAATCAGAACATCAATATTGACCCAGTATTACCTTCTGTTCAAAGTTTCCATTCACATTTTTGTTCATTTTCCCTGTAACTTTCTTTATAAAGTCAGGATCCAGTGAAAGACTGTTTGCTGTGTTTAACCGTCACAGTTTTTCGGTCTCCATTAATACACAACAGTGTCTTAGTCTTTGCTTGTCTTGACAGTGAGACTAGTTTCTTGGTAGGATTTTTCTCAGATTCGCTTCGCTTTCCCTAGTGACTAGAACCAGTTTATGTGTCTTCAGTAGCAGAATAACTGAAGTCGTATTTGTGCTCAGTGTGTTGTTTCAGGAGATACATGAGCATGCTTGTTCTGGTACTGGTGATGATGACTTTGATTATGTAATTAAAATGTTGCCCACAGTTCTCCTTACTGTTTCAGATGAATCACTGTGTTGTTTTCCCTGGAAGGTATTTTGAGGCTGTCAATAGTCTGCTTCTATTCAAATTTTCAACCCTTTGTCTTGGCACTCGTACAGTTCCCACCTGAATCAGTTTTTACACTGAATGGCTTCTGAGAAGTGATTGTCTAACTCCATGACTTCTTCTATGTTTTATTGATTACCATTTTCCTCTAAAAACTTTCCCTTTCAGTAACCTAAAATAATTTCTTTTTAAAAATTGTATTTATTTTGGTAATTGCATTGTCCCATATTGTCCATTATGAGTCTTTTTAAATTGGTGCTTATATAGCTCACACATTTTCATCATTTTTTCCGATAACTCCTCTCTGATATATCAAGATATTCCAGCTCTGGAGTCAGCCATTCATCTCAGGAGCTTTGGGTTCTTTCATGCAGAATGATTTTTAGAAAGTGCAAACTGATACATACATGGATACTCACGTGTCATTGTTCCTAGCTTTTCCCAGTGAATATAGTCAGTATGCACCCACCTCTGCCTCTATCACTCATTCCTAGCATTTCTTCCGCTCTCCACTCTCCCTTCCTCCCTCCCCCATATATAGATAGGCACAGATATAGATATAGATGCAGATATAGATATAGATATTGGTATAGATATAGATCTGTCATCTCCATCATCTCCATCTCTCTCTCTTTTCACTCTTTCTATTTGTCAATGAAATTTTGAGTGTATACCAATACCTAATTCCAGGCCAACATTACAAAGTTTTTCCCCAAATTCCAACTTCCTGTATTTTTCATTTAAAAAAAAAGAAAATTAAAAATCTGAAAGACAGACTCACAGAGAGAAGGAAAGAAAGCGTCCATTCACATCCCATTCCCCAAATAGTCACAATGGTCATAGCTGAGAAGATCCAAAGCTGGGAGCCAGGGGGTTCCTTTCAGCCTCCCACGTGGGTACAGACCCAAGCACTTCAGCCATCTTCCTCTGCTTTCCCAGGCCATTAGCAAGGAGCTGGACTGGACACGGATCAAATTGGTGTCCATATATGATGGGCACTGCAGGCAGAGAATTACCTTGCTGTACCTCTGTGCTGGCCCCTATTTTTCATGGAAGCTTCTTCAACACTAAGTTGGCTTCCCTTATCTTGACCATTAACACGTGTTTTATTAATCCATCCTTACATTACCTAGCAATGTGGCAAATCCAGTCCCAACCCTTTTAGCCCTGACTTGTGAGCTAACCCTCTTGAACTTAGTGTGATTCTGAAAACCACACTGGATGAGTCCCTAATCCTAGTCCCAGCCCTGGGAACACACCAAGCATGTGTGTAGCTGAGGACATGGCCTTGACCCCAGTGACTTCTTGTTTGCGATCAACACAACAGATGTTGACCATATAAAGTAAAGGATGTGTGAAACAGGCTGGGGAGAGGACCCAACCAGGAGCTTGGAGATCAGTTTGGAGGAGACGATGAAGTGACTTGAGGATGGGCAAGAAGCCAGGACATGATGCATTATCAAGGTCAATGTGATGAGTCCCAGATATGATCCTCCAGGGACAGTGTGGGAAACCGACCATTCAGAATCAGCTGCAGGAGACAGGAAAGCAGCTGTTCCAACCTTGGCTCCATGGATGGCTACGACCCTGTGCGCTGACTTCCCCCACACTTGAAACCCCCTTGGGCCAGGATGCAGGCTGAGTACATTCTGGTGCGGGCACCAGAGGGAGCTTATGGGTCGAGAGTAAGGAGCAAAAGCCCGCTGAGCTCAGATGTTGAGAGTGGAGTGAGTCACAGCCTGTATGATACGCCATCTGCTGGCCCACCCAAGGGTGTGTCAGCTCCCAAGGGCCTGTCTCAGACTACAAGGGAGTGAATGGCAGTTCACAGATGTCAAGTAATTTACAGAAGGATGTGGGTTCTGGAAACACTGCTGGGCACATAATCAATTGTGTAAACAAGATGATATGATATGGAAGTCCTGTAGCAGTTTCTATTGAACAAAGCTCAGGGATTTCAAATGCAATGACAAAATTTCAGAACGCAGTCAGAAAAAGTCTGCATAGAGTGACTCCTAGAGTCCTTGCAATTAAGGGTTTGAGGTCAGGGATTTTGTGAAACCCTGAATCCCCATTTTCATGTCCAGTCTGTCCTTGAAGCTGTGGAAGGGAGAGGTTAGGATCTGAGAGAGACCTGCCTGGTAGCTCTGCTCTGCTGCTGCTCCAGGGCCTTTGAATGTGCTACCTGGCACATCCATCGAATGCTTCTCTGCTGATAAAGGCTATCTGATCTGGAGCTATTTTATTTTATTTCTTTAATAAGTAGGGCCTGGATTGCTCTGTGGTTTTAATAACAGACACTTCAGCTTCCCATTTGGCTCAACCAACAGATCGGGCCTGATTTCTAAGGGAGAAGACAACGATTGTAGCGTCAGAGAGACTTGTGTCCTCCTGCCTGAGACCCAGGAGCATCCTCACTGTGGGACGGGGCATCCTGAGGTCAGACAGACGCGGACTCTCCCTGCGTGGTACAGAGGTTAGATCAGTTTGGAGATCAGAGTCAGAGTTTCCTGCTTCTTAGTGCCTCCAAGATTACTGAATTCCAAGTGTACTAAATCTCTTCCACTTTGATTTCTGACAGCAGGCCCTGTGGGTCTGGCTCATAAGAAGCCTTTTTCCCTCAGTGACAAGTCCTTTCTCTGTGCCTCCGACAGTGAGTCACATGTCTGCAAGAGTGGCCAGTGGGGCTCAGAAAGTTCATGGGGGATCTCAACCCCATGAACTTCTAAAACAGCTACCAAGAAAAGGAGCAAACGTTTCAGCTGAGCCTGACAAGCTCTTGGCATCAGGACTGGGCCTGGAACAAACATTGTCTTAGTCCATTCTGTCTTAGTCCAGCTGTACCAAAATATGTCAACCTGGGTCATTTACTATTACTCCCCAGTCTGAGATTCAAAAGCCTCTACAATCTGGCTCCAACATTTATTTCACTTTTAAAGTATTTTGTAAAAAAAAAAATTTTATTATCTACTTGATATACTTGAAAGGCAGAATAAGGAGAAGAGAGAAACAGAGGAAAGCATGTTTTCTCATCTGCTGGTTCATTTCCTAAATGTCTGTAACAACCAGGGTTGGGCCATGCCAAAGGCAGAAGCCAGAAGGCAAGACTTCCATGCGTGCTTGCCATAAGGGGGTGGAGACCCAAGCACTTGAGTTATAATCCATTACCTTTCAGGATGTATTAACAGATTATAAGTCTAGTAGCTATAACTTAAATTGACACTACAATTGATTGTAGGTATTGCAAGCAGGTGTTTCATTCACTATGCCACAACAATAGCCTTCCCACTTTTATTGTGAAAACTCCATCTTTCTTTGCAAGGAGTTTGTTAGATTCACTGGGGTTCATGACAGAGACAAAGCATCTATAATTTTAACATAATTAAATTTAAGAAATAATTACGCAGTTTGTGTGATATATAATAAAGTACTGTTATATAGCATCTGGGGAAAGTAGGGAAATAAATAAGGTCTTGGTCTCAGACTCCAATTCTTGTAGTCCAAGTGTAGGGAGGCAAGACTTCTAGGTTTGGAACTTGTGTTGCAGGAGTTTCGTGGAATCCTCGATCCGTGGATCTCCTTTGATCAGTTTGGTCTCGAAGCTGCAAGAGGAAGTCGGCAGTTAGGTGAGCACTTGGGGATTGTTCCCAGGGCTCTGGTGCAGTGGACCCTAGACCCAGTCAGCCCTTGCTCCCTGGGTGATGGAACTTGGTTCGGGAGTTAGGGAGGGGGCTGTGGAAGAAGGCTTCAGGAGGAAGTTCTGCTCTCGCTCTCCTAGGTGATATCCATCAGGATCCTGGCTAAAGGATCTGGAATCTTCTCATCAAGCTGCTAGGAAAAGAGCCCGGGAAGGATTAGGGACTTCTTTGTCGAGTAAGAAACCTGCGGATTTGATGATATAATTACCTGGCACATTTGGACTTGAATACTGACCTCTCTCTTGTTGTTTAGAGAGAAATTCAAACGGAGTGTCAGGCACGGTGTACTCACATCACAGCTTCCCGGGGGCACAGGATGGTGGTGATTCTTGTGTAACTCTTCAGCCTCTGACTGGGGATCCTCCTCATGACCACATTGAAGTAGCAGGTGATTGGAATGGAAACGGAATCTGAAAGAAAATCTGCCAGGAAAAAAATGAGTCAAGATATGCTGTAAATGTGTAATTTCAAGGGAAGGTGAGGGTGGGAGAAGATCTAGGTGTCACCACTCCAAGATAAAATACTATCCACATGACCCATCTGTGTTGACGGGGTACTGAAAAAGCTTGGGAAAGAAGACCCTTCACTGTCAACTCATCTAAAACCACTATGCCTTGCTTCCAAATTATGTCATATGCCAGAATTCCTCAGGGTGCTTGCTTTTACATGGCCACTGTTCTGGAAGCTTCACTAGACCATAAACGAAATTTGAAACTTCAGGCAGTGGCTTCTTCCTCTGTACTACTGCCTGTAAAATTTTCTACCTCCACAGCCAGAAATGGTCCTTCCTTCCGTGTCGCTTCTCCAAACAAAGTGGGGTTGTTAAAACAGTGGCTATGCTCAACATCTCTTCCCAAAGTTGGTGTCAGGAGTCATCACAAGAGCTAGCCTCAGAACCCTAGGAATCTAGTTCTGGCTCTGGCTCTGATCAGATATGCCTCTTTCTAGTTCCTGTCTTGGTTTCACTTTCTCCTTCTTTAAAATGTACATGGTGCAGTTAGCCTGGGATGATTCACACTGAGTGTCAGTACCTGTGTAACTCAAATGCTAAGCCTCAGGGAAGGAAGCACCTCACCTGGCTGGGCCAGCACCTGGGAGCTCAAGGTGGCTGCTCTGAGTAGCAGGCACAGAAGTGTGGTGGAAGCCTTCCTGATAGAGGAGGAGGTGAGCTCATGAAAGAGTTGGAGAATTCTATGTTGGCCTCAGCCTCTCTGCTCCTCTAATGGCTCCACCTGACATTTTTAGGTAACTTAGTCTTGGCAGACCTTGTGGTCAAGGAAGGATGTGATAAGTAGGAATAAGGTCCTGGGGGTGATTTCCAAATAATGAAAAAAGGAAGCTGTGCAGGTTCTATCTTTTCCTGACTTTGTGGAGAGGAGGACAGTTGTGCCTCATAGAGTGTAGGAAATGAGCTCATTGTGTTATTAAAAGATTTTATTTCTTTGAAATGGAAAAATGATCTGTAGGAAAGGAAGACTGGAGACTGGGCACATAGAGAAATGCAGTCAAGGGTATCAGGAGGCTCAGGACTTGTTCAAATGCTCTTGCATGTGCTGTGCATCACAGTCAACCTGCAGATATCCCAAGAAGGCAGGCTCCTTTAGAAGCCTGAGTTCCACAGAGCCTAAGCAGAATGATGGAAGTGAGGAGTCCTCAACACATGATGCCCAGGAATCTTGGTGTTGTGATAAGGTGAAACTGGACAGCATACACAGTCATCTTGTATCATAATTTCCAGTGTTTTAGATAGGCACTCAAGTTCTTTTTCCAAGCAAAATCATGTGGAGATGCACAATATTTCATGCAGATTTAGGGAGAATGAACCTGTTTGCAAATGACCTCCCAAATCCCTTATTCACACCCAGTAGGTCAAAAGAGGGTGGTGGGCAGGGAAGGAGCCAAGTTTGCAAACACTGACACCGTCCATATATCCATCACTGTACATCACATGGTTGTTTCCTTTCCTCCAAATGTTGCACATTCTTTTCATCCTTTCTCTTTTGACACTACAGCTCTGGGTACCACTGATAGTTTATTGTGTAGGAGGGGCCTTGCCCAGTTTTGAAGTCATTGAATCCCTTTGCTTTAAGTTTGCCTTTTCCCAAATGTCTTACAGTTAGAATCAAATAGCATTAGTCCTTTCAGCCTGGTTTCTTTCACTAAACAGTATTTATGATTAACCCATATCTTTTTGAGGCACGATAGCTCCTGCTTCTTTTCAAAGTTAACTTATTATTTTTTGTTGTGATAAAATACACAGTTTGCCATCTTGAACATTTTTTAAGGTGTAGCTCAGTAGCATTAAGTATATTCACACTGTTGTAGAGCCAATTTCTCTCTTTTCATCTTCAACCTGAAACTCTATGCCCGTAAATCATGCTTCCTCTTGAGATTGTGTTGAATGTAAATCAAGTTTGGAAGAATTGATACATCAACAATATTGTCTTTTCCTACCTGTAAATAAGGTATCTGTCTTAATTTATGTAAATAACCAATGGATATATCCCATAGAGGTCTTCCTTGTTTTCCCCCCTAATAGTTTGATGGTTTCTGAATACAAATTCAGGTCCTTAATCCTCATCAAAATTTGAGAAATACAGTCAAGGCATTGCTATTTTTATTTTAAAAGGCAGAGTTATATAGAGAGAAGGAGAGAGAATATAAAATTTCTTATCTTCAAGCTTAGGGATTGCTCCCTTAACTGCATCTATGATGCTGGCAAGCCCATAAAAGGCATTTCCTATTTCCACTGCTCTGTTTATTTCTAGCATTTCCTTTCAGTTCCTCCTTTGAGTTTCCATTTCTCCCCTTGGCATTACCCATGCATTTTCCATGTTGTCTGCTTTCTCAGAGTTCTCACACTGTTAGTTATGTTAATTCTCAGTGTGATGCTCCTAAAATCTGCCATATCTTTAACCAGTTGTGCTGTTTGCTTTCACCTTCAGACTGTTTTTTCCCTTGCCTTTCAGAGTGCCTTGTAATGAAGGCAAATAGGTCTATTGCATCAGAATTCGTCTGGCTAAGAGTTAGATTGGGTTTCTCTGAAAACTCCTTGAGTAGTTTGTGAACCGTGAAATCTTTCCAGTTGCAGTTCTCTGTCAATATTCAGGAGCTGCTGTGCTGGTGCGGTGCAGAAGCCTTCTGCCATCCTGTAGCTACATTTCTGTCTTTTACTGGAACTGCTGCCTCTGGGCTGGGAGCTTCACAAGTTCACCTCACTCCCTCTACTACTGTCAGGAGGTCTGTGATGCCTTAAGCTGGTATTTATTGTTGCTGGTGTCAGTGAGGCTCTTGGGCAATTTAATCTATAGGCTTCCCTTTAGGACAAGTGGCAAACACACACTCCTTTGGACATTTTTCAGAACGGTTTTATTTCCTCCAACTATTTTTCAATGGGGTCCTCCTAACAGTTGGACTTCAGGATTTTTCGTCTTCCAGCAAGTCTGAGCTCAGGCTCCAGCAATTTGCCAATTGCAGTTGACGCTTTCCTGAGAGTTCCTGGGAGGCTCTGGTTCTCTGTCCACTTCTCTAGTTTGGGAGTAGCAGTTCACACTGTGACCTTCTCTCTCGTGGCTCTGAGAAAGCTGTGAATTCTTGGCTTGTTAAGCATTTTTCTGCTTTGAAAACAGCTTTGACTTCCAAGTTCTTGCCATGTCAGAGAGGAAACCTGAACTCACCTGGTGAACATCATTTCATGTTTATTTGCATTTGTGTATCTCCTTCATTGCAATTTCTGTTAATAACTGTTAGTCATTTAAAAGAATATATTTGTTTATTTGAAGGGCAAAAAATGACGGAGAGGGAGGGAGGAAGAGTGGGGAGAGAGATGTGAGAGATCTCCCATCCACTGTTTCATTCCTCAAATGACTACAGCAGCCAGGACTGGGTAAGGTTGAAGCCAGAGGTTAGAGACTCCCTCACAGTCTCCTGTGTGGTGGCAGAGACTCAAGCACTTGTGCCATCATATATGGCTTTCCCAGGGAGCAGAATCACAAGTGGAGTGGCTGAGCCTCAGACCAGCATTCTGATATAAAGTACTGGCATCACAACCAACAGTTTAATATGATGTGCCATAGCACCGGTCTTTCATTGAAAAAGTTCTTGTTTTCTTACTGCTGAATTTAAGACATTTTAATATATTGCAGCTATAATTCCTTTATCAGACATTAGGTCAGTCACAAATACTTTCTTTGTATATAATTAGTTCTTTTAACACTTTCTTTTATATAGTAGAAATTTATAAGAATTTATAGATCTCATAGTTCAATTATCAGGGTTTTCTTTAATGAATTTTCACTTTTTGGATAGTGTCTAAACCCATCACCAAACTCAAGGTCATACACTGTCTCTTCAATGAACATGTCTAGACTTTTCATAAGTTATTAAATAATAACTTAATTATTATTAATTAATCTTGACCTTAAAAGGCTCCATTGGATTTTATGTGTATATATGAATGTACCATAATTAAGTTGCATATTACACCATTTTCACTTTTTTATAATTATAAATAATGTTTATGAAAAGCTGACATAACATTAGTGTTAATTTAATTCCACAGCCAAGGAATTAGTAAAGCAAACATGTGGATGTCATTGGGGCTCATAATCAAATTATCATGTTGTTGGAAAATTTGCACTTTCACTGAGACAAGAGTTTATTATTCTTGAAAACATCTGATAATTGCTAAGAGGATATTAATCTTGTTAGAAAGAAAGCCAGCCTGTGGTAACAGAGGTCAGAATAGTGATTTCCTTTGTGGAAGGAAGACTTATAAGACGCAGGAATGCTCTGTATTTACATCAGAGCAGTGGTTAAAGGATTGTTTGCATATGTGAAATTCATGAGCCTGAACATCTAAACTGTTTGCACTTGACTATAGATCAGAAATTGTACTTCAATATAAAGTAAGCGGAAAAAGTACAGCATTATTTTGATTACATTTACTCACTTTTTAATGTGTACATTGATATTTTACTAGTGATTAATATATTCCTTTCTTCATTTCTTCAAATCAAGTGGCTTTTCGTTTTCACTGATTCTGAAGTGATATTCATTTACCTCATGTATTTTCCAAATACATACAAACTTTTAATGAAAAAAATTTGCCAGTGTGGGACCTAAGGGTGTCAGCAGAAAGAAATTTGAGGTGCTCCAGGATGCTGGTTTGTAATCATTTTAAGGGTGATCTCCAGCCAGGTGCATCCTGTGGCACTGATCTAGGAGGGGCTGTTTTGATCTAAATGTCACTTTTTTTGTATATTTTCATTGATAAGTAAAGTTGTTATCTTAAGTAACACCCCAGGACTTCATTAATTTCTGCTCTGAGTTGTCTTCACGTGGAAAGCGCAGCCACAACAGAAAACAGAGATAGTTGTAAAAACAATTGTTGAGAATAAAAAAGGGATCATAAAAATGAAGGGAATTATACATTAAGCAGCTTGGGTCTAATTCTATTTTAGCCAGTAACTAGATAATAACTTGCTCAGTGTGACCATGGGCACGTTTCTTGACCTTGAGTTTTATGATCTTCATCCATAATGTATGGGATCTGACGACAAATAGTTTTCTATCTTCCGATAGCTTTGCGGACTGGTGATGGATGACTAGAACATTTTGTTGACAAAACAAAATAGTGAAGTCTTACCTTAAGTTAGCGAATATGGTACTGTTATTGATTAGTGATGCCTATTACAGATATGGCACTACAGAATTACCATAAAGAGAATAAGAGGATACTTCAACAAAATTGAAATTCATGCATAGCTTGTTCATATACATTTTCCATGAACTTCCTGAAAACTTCCATATTCATGGTTTTTAACCTTTTGCACTAAAAAATTAAGTTATTTTCCAATTCTGTTTCCTGTGAGCTTTTTGAAGTCCCTTCTTATCTGACAAGGTTGTTATTTCTAGATTCAGTAGCACTTACGCTCTTCTATAATTGGCTTTGTCTGTAACTGCAAAGCACCAGACCAGAAGTGAAGATGTTAGGAATTGTCCTGAGAGAAACTGAAAAGATTCAAGGCTGAAAATATGGACTTGGATCCTGGGAACCCTAGTGAATATATGTGACAGGACAGTTAGCTTCTCCATATACAAATGTTATTTTTTTGTCTTTCATTTTCTTGCATGAAAATAGAATTTATTGTAAATATTGAATTGTCTGACACACACCAAAAAATTACTTTGAAGAGTAAGTGGATATGGTAAGTCATCAGCTACCACCAAGAATCAAGTTCAGAAGGTAAGTGGAGATCGACGTGTTGCGAGGATGGGCCTCTGGAAATGTATGCAGTGAGACGAAGGAAGAGAAACCCTCCCAGAAACCAGAGAAAGGGAGGTGCTGGCATTGCAGGGAATTCAACGCAAAAGATAATAGCAACCTCATTATTATCTCACGTGAAGGAAAAACTCATTCACAATGAGCAGCAACCAAAGGAAATCAGAAGGGTGGGGCTGGTGGCTTCCTCCTCCCATTCTGTAAGCTGAAAACTCAGGCAGCATCTCTTTGACAGTAACCTTGAGATGGGATTGTATGGGTTATGTCTCCTGTTAGGACCACTACTCTAGTTCAATGTTCACATTTACAGATGTATAAACTGAGGCACATGGTGAGAAAATGGTTTTCCCAAAATCCCTTAAGAATTAAATGAAGAATGGAAACCATTCTGTGCTGTCCAGACCAGCTTAGGAACTGTGAAACACTTCTAGGAGGTGCCTGCCCTTACGGACATTCCTACCCTAAAATATCAAACTCTTCACATAGAAACAATCCACTCATTTTGAAAAGTATGTTCTACTCTCGTTCTAGAACGGTGGCTCTACATGGTTTTGTAATATTTGTTGTACTCCCTAGCAATCTAAGAAAAATGTATTTTATTGCTTTTGTTCAAATAATCCCTACAAAGTCACCACTGGTGTTTATCTAAATGTCAGTCAACGATAAAAACAACATCCTCATTAGGTTCCTCCATGTTAGCTCAAGAAAGTTGAAAATTATTAGAAAATTTTCAATAGGCACAGCTGTTCATTTCCACATGGGTAATATTTTTATTCCAGTATCTCTTAAGATTACAATTAAGTTAATGAAGACTAACAATCTGTTGAGCAATATAAAAAAGGCTTTACACATTGAAATCCCTACATCACACAGAGTAGCCACTGTTGTTGGCATCACCACCCTTTTAGAAATTTGAGAACAAATACATTTGTCTACTTTGAATGAGACATGTTTTACCATGATCATATAAAAAATAAGTTCATGTTATTCTACATAATATGTTTTTCTACATGTTATTCTTTTTTTTTAAAGATTTATTTTATTTTTATTGGAAAGGCGGATATACAGAGAGGAGAGACAGAGAGGAAGATCTTCTGTCCGATGATTCACTCCCCAAGTGAGCGCAACGGTCGATGCTATGCCAATCCGAAGCCAGGAGCCTCTTCCGGGTCTCCCACAAGGGTGCAGGGTCCCAAAGCTTTGGGCCGTCCTCGACTGCCTTCCCGGGCCACAGGCAGGGAGCTGGAAGGGAAGCAGGGTCGCCGGGATTAGAACCGGCGCCCATATAGGATCCCGGGCGTGCAAGGCGAGGACCTTAACCACTTGCACCACCGCGCCGGCCCTACATGTTATTCTTTAAAAAGTTTTTTATTTGTCTGAGAGGCAAACACACAGCTCCCATATACTTATTCACTCCCCAAATGTCTACTGTATCTGAGATTGGGCTAGGTCACACCCAGGGACCTGAGACTTTATCACAGTCTCCAAGTAGGTGTCAGGGACCCCAAGCACTTGGACTGTCCTCTATGGTTTCTTGTGCATGTTAGTGGGAAGCTGGATGGGAGATGGAGTGACTGGGACTCTCCAAGTTGGACTCACAGGTGACAGGGCATTGCAGACAGTGGCTTAACCCACCACACTACAGAATTGACTCCTTTGGGAGCTTGTAATTGCATGAGGTATGAGGGAGATTTACGGGAGCCTCCTGGGTGGTGGCTCCTGGCACAGAAATATATAAGATTTACTTCGTTGATTTTTGCTGTAGAAAAATATCCCTCCCATAAACAATGAGTAAGGGCCCAGGCATTTGCTCTACATTTCATAGGAAATATCTGGGCTTGATGCTTAGCTGCAACTTCTGATGCCAACTTCCTGCTAACACAGAGCTTCTGGAGAGCAGCGGTGACTGATTATGTATCCTGTAGCTCGGTTCCTGCCACCTACATGGGCGATAGCTCCCATGTAGGGATTGTGTTCCCAGCTCCCAGCTCTGGCCCCTGGCCAGTCCTGGTGATTGTGGGCATTTGGGCAGTGACCCAGAAGCAAGGAGCTCTCTGCCTCTGTTTTTGCCTGCCTGTCTGTCTCACTTCCCCCTTCTCAAATAGGTAAGGAAATAAATCAAGTAAGTAGTTTTATAAAGTCCCAAGATCAGCTTATTTAAATTTTTATTGAGAGTGGAAATCTTCACGTGCATTCTCAGTAGTTTCATTTTGTCTTGTAAACTATCCAATCATTTCCTTAGCTCAGAATTTTATTATTAATACAGAAGTCAGAGAAGGGCAAACAGCCGCACTTGAGATTTCCTCTAGCAGAAAGGAACTTAAGCCATTCACAAAAGCATCTGGGACTGTCCCCTGCCCCTGCATCAAGCAATAGGGCTGCATATACTTAAGTTTTGTTATGAA